AAGGGAACGTGTTCAGTGCAGATCAGTGAGTAAGCACAAGCCCGCCTTTTTTCAGTGCCTATGCTTAAACTGCCCCCTGGCTGAACACTCTTCTCTATGTACTATGTATAGTACAGTAATAGGAACCCAACAAACCCACCTTAACCAAGTGAGCAGAGGTAACTTCACCAATAATGGGAAATAGCAACTTTGTGAGCTGTTTTCAGCCCTTTGTATACTGTATATAAAACTGTCACAAATACTGCTAGGTATAAAATTGTGTGTTATATTTCTAATTCTTTAGATTGTATGCTTCCAAGGATGGGGCCATGTTTTCTTATCATGTGCCTTGTAAATTATCGATTTACCCAATAGATAGACTAAAAGTTTGGATGTAGATTTAATTTTTCCATATCAAATTGTTCGTGTACTAGAGAAACATGACATTTCAAACTAGTTTCTGATGTTTTATTTGAAAAATATTTGAAAAAAATGAATAAGGTAATTTCCCCTAGTTTATCTTTTAGGGGAAAAAAAATCAGATTTTGAAATACATTATATTTGCCTAAATCCATAAAGGATTTTACACATAGTAGAGTCAAAAAATGTATGTTTATACTACACATAAACATTGTTCTATATCCTACTTTGGTGAGTAGCAACTGGGATCTTAAAAGCTTGCAAGCAGCCATCTAAAAGTAACAATGGGTCTGTCTTCATCCAGAGCAAAGAATAATGAAGAAAACCAATGATATATGGAAACAATTAGTCCAAGGAACTAGCAGACCATGAGATCCTCAGCCTGTATGACCATGAAACCAGAAGAACTAGATGGTACCCGGCTACCACTGTCAACCACTTTGAAGAGGATCAAAAAGGATTTGTTTTGGAACAAAACTCAAAATCATTAAAAAATAAAAATAAAAATAAGACCAGGTTTGCTGGTCTGATAGAGCCTGGTGAAACCCCTGAGACTATGGCCCCTAGCTGCCCTTCAGGTCTGGAATTGAATCCACTCCTGTGGCTTCCAGCCAAATAAAAGACTGGCATATGAGCTGAACATTTACATCAGGTAGATCCATTCCTTGGAGAGACTGATCATGGGAGAACAGAAGGGCAGTGTATGCACAGGGAGACTGCTGGGGGGCAGGAGTACATGGGAGGGAAGGACTATGGGGAGGAGGTGGGAAAAGAGTTGTTACATTGTGGGAAACAGCAGTCAATGTCATGAGACAAAATGTATACATAGAGCTGTATGGAAAATGAATTTGCTCTGTAAATTTTCATCAAAATCACAATAAAAATTAGAAAAATATATGTATGTTTGAGTGCTTGGATCCCAATTACAGAATAAACACTGGAGATTTAAGCAAAGGAATTTTCAACAGATGTGCTTCTAATATCATCTTTTTAGATCCAATGAGCAATTTAAAAGAAATACGAAGGATACTAAACCAGGATAAATGACATCACAATATATAATAAGTCAAATGTGGGAAATTCTACTAGTCAAATGGTCCAGTTTCTTCGACAAATAAAACAGCACTAAAAGAGGAAACTTTCACATAATGAGTCTTAAGAGCATGTCAACCAAATGCAGTGAGCAGGCCTTGTTTACAAATGCATTTGTACAAACCATAACCGTAATACTGAAGTCAGAGTAGATATTCAGTGTCAAGCAATTATTTTAATTTTTGTCAAATGTGTACTGTAGTGTGGTTTTACTTAAAAAAAGGTTCTGATCTATTAGAGACAAATACCATACTACTTATGGGTAATATATGCTGCCTGGGATTTCTTTTGAAATACCGAAGTAAAAATACAAAGAATAGATGTGGTAGCTGCTGAAGTGGTGAGGGGGTTCATGGAACTAATCTTTCTACCTTTGTGTATGTATGGAAATTTCCAACAATTAGACCTTACAAACTTAACATGTTCAAAGCTAAGCTCTAATTTTCCCACCCATCACAGCTCCACTGCAGCCCTTCCCATTTCAGTTCATGGCAACTCCATCTTTGCAATCGCTCAGGCTGAAAACCTTGGAGTCATCCTTGACTATTTTCCTTTGTTCCCACTCCCACATCCAATCAGTCAAAAAATCCTCTTCATTTCTTGTTCAAAATATATTCAAAATATGACTACTTTTCACTACTCCAATTGTACCACTCCAGTTCAGGCTACTGTTCTCTCTTACCTGGATGATGACCACTGGCTTACTCTGCATCCTACTAGGCTTCACTGCCCCCAGCACATTTGTAATACCAAAAAGAAGAGTGGTCCTTTGAGAATGGAAGGTAGATCACATTACTCCTTTGCTCAAAACCCCCCAGTAATCTCTACTCTTTTCAAAGTAAAACTTAAGTCCTCACCAAGGTCTACGAAGCCTACAATGTCTGGCTCCCATTACCTTCCGGTCTTCATTTCCTACTCTTCCCTCCCTTTTTCACTCTTCTCCAACCAAACTGGCTTCTCTCATAGCTCCTCAAAACACTGGGGGCTTCCATCTTTAGGCCTCTGAAGTAATTACTGTCTCTGTCTAGGCTTTTCCCTCAGACAATTATACTGCTTCCTCCCTCACCTCCTTCATTTATTCAAATGTCACCTTCTTAGTGAGACCTATCCTGACTATCCAACTCAGCACTCCTTACCCTCTTCTCCCTATTTTTCTCCAGGGCTTTATTACCTTCCTACATTAAGTGGTTCAGTCTCTCCCACCAGAATGGGAACAGATCATTTCTAATTTTGTTTGCTGCTTTATCTCCAGTGCCTAGAATAGTACATGGCACATAGAAAACACCAAGTAAATACATGTTGAATTGAAATGAAGTAATCTGGATAGGAGGGAAGGTTGGGGCAATCTATTTCTGTAGTGATACCACTTCAGAAACCTAAGGAGGGATCACTATGAGTCAGATCCGACTTGACAGTAGTACATTTGGTTGTTTTGGTTTGGACAGGAGAAAATCATGGTGGCCCCCAGAAAGAGGCTGTTTTGTTATAGTGAAAACACAGACAGTGGGCAATGAAGATGAGGACTAAATAAAATTCCTTATAGAAATAACGGCACCTTACTCATCTTTCATTTCCAAAACATTTGAAATTTAGGAAAGGATAGAAAGGAATGTCCTTATTTCAGGATCCTAGGAAGCTTATCCCAAGTCATCCAGTGAGTTACAGTTTAAGCTTTCTAGTATGTTTCCAGTTGGACTAAGATTCTAACTAATGGGTCTTTCAAATACCCCTTTCTGGTTAATTGCACAACTTCCATAAATAAAACATGCCCTTTTATAGCAGCTGGTATTCCCTATACTCTGAAACTCCACTAAATATTAAAACTAGTGACTAGGCTGGAGATCTCAAAGCAACCCAATTCACCTCTTTTGTTTAATCTTCCCCTTCCCTATTTTAGCTCCATGGGCCTTCACATGGAAGTAGGTGATTGCACGTAGCTGATCTGGGATGGAAGAATGCTGGAAGGTAGGAAAAGGTACAAATAATCCCCCAAACCAGGATCTCACATGAACCATGATGGACACCAGTGCTTCCAACACCACCCAGAAGCTAAAACAGGCTGAGCCTCCCATCCCTTTACTCTAGCAACTCCAAATAGGGTGAGGCACACCTTTTATTAAAAGAGTTTATAAATAGAACTTAAAAAAAAAAAGATATACTCCTCAAACCTACCCATGGATGGGACTGTGGACTAAGGGCTGGGGACTGGTGGCATTTATCCCAATAACCTGGAGCCAAAACAGGTTCTGTCTTCATCACTGTCCTGGGCCTAGTGTACCCAAAGCAAAAACTTGCTGGGAGGATTACAGACCCCCAGATTGGAAGAGCTCTCTCAGGCAGAGGATATTTCCCTAAGGTCTCAGCAGCAAGTTCCTGTAATTAAAGGCACATTACTGGGAAAAAAGACCCCTGGACGTAAAGAAGGACAGAATCCTTTTCTGGTGCCAGCAGCAATGAAGTTTACTGGTTGAAACTATCTGAATCTGGGGGAAGGAAAAAAGTTTTATGCATAAATCTCTTCTAGTTCCTCATTCTGAGCTGAGTTGGCCAACTTATGTAAATCTCTTTTTTAGTCTCTTTAACACTCAGTTGAGTTGGCGGCTTGTGCAGTAGAAAAAGGATGAGATGGCAATGGTAAGGCAAGGAAAGTCAGAGGCTTGGACCCCAGGAATCTGGAATTACGTGCTGTGGGTTGGCCTTAGGAGGTGAATGAGTTTCCTGCAGTGTTTGGCAGAGGCAGGCCTGGGACTGCTACCACTGTGTGGCAGTAACTGATTCCCCAGAGATAGCAGGGCTAATTTTTCACTGGCACCTAAGGACACCAGCACCTGTGGGATAGAGAGCAAATGAAAAAATAGAAAATGAGGCTCAGAAATTGCCATGTCAGAGATGCAGAGAAATTCTAATTGGTCTAGCAACTCTGACTTCAGGAAAAAGAAAGAGAAAGAAAAGGGACCCCATGGCTCAACTCTTAGTCAAACAACAGGCAAGCCTGAAGGTGAACAGTAACACAGGGAGGTGCTCACTCCTTGCAACAACCAATCATATAGGATCAAAAGGGTAGCATTTGCCCAGGGATAAGGCTCAGAAGGCAGGAAGGGGTAGGAAAGAAGGGTGACTAGAAATGGTAAACACAGGGAGGAAGTGGGAAGAGTGCTACTATATTGTGGGGATTGCAATCAATATCACAAATCAAAATACGTATGAATTGTTGAATGAAAAAGCAATTTGCTCTGTAAATATTCACCCAATCACAATAAAAAGTTTAAAAAAGAAAAGAAAAGGGGTTTTGGGGACTCACAATAGATTGATCGTATGGGAGAAGAGATCCACTTACATTCTCTTTGGTTAGACCACAAAGCCAAATACCAAGGGACCAATATACTTGCCCCCAAGAAGAGGTAATGAATGCAGCAGTGAGAGTAGGCCAAAGGTCTGATTCTCAGTCGTGGATCCAGACCAGTGGGCTCCAACCTCATTACCTCCAAGGATTCCTTTTATTATTTTCCCACACAGATTTCCAGAAATTCTGATTATCATTATCACCATCTCATCAAAATTTCTGTCTTGCATGAACCACCCAATATTAGCACAATGAGCTATTCTAATGTGGGGCTTTTATCTTATTATAAGTTGATGTGTAGTTTCCATTGGGCTTTTTATACACTGAAAATTGAGCAGAAGAGGCAGAGTAAAGTAATGGTTAAGAATATGAGCTCTGCACTCCTGTGGTTTCCAGCCAAATGAAAGACAGGCGTATGAGCTGAACATTTACATTAGGGAGATACACTCCTTGGAGAGATCAATCATGGGAGAATAGAAGGGCTGTGTATGCACAGGGAGACAGCTCAGGGGGCAGGAGTGCATGGGAGAAAGGGCACAGGGAAGAGGTAACTATGGGGAGGAAGTGAGAAGGGAGCTGTTGCATTGTGGGAGATTACAGTCAATGTCATGAGACAAAGCATACATGAACTGCTGTATGGAAGATGAATTTTCTCTGTAAACTTTCACCCAAATGACAATTAAAAAAAAAAAAGAGTATGGGCTCTGGACTAGGACTCCTGAGTTAAAAAGTCCAATCCTACATACTAGCTTGGTAACTTGGAAAAGTCATTAGATTCTTGTGCTTCAGTTTCCTTGCTTTCAAAATGAGAATAATAGTTTAAACCAGATAAGAAAAGTAAAATGTTTAGCATGGTGCTGTTCCCATGGTAAATGCTAAGAAGACAGTCATCACCTTCACAGCCCTCAGAATGAAATCACTCTATACCTCACCATCTCCTAGCTTCCCCCCATCTCCCTCCCACAGAGCCTCTGTTGTTGTTGTTGTTGTTTGCCGTCGAGTCGGCCCCAACTCATAGCGACCCCTCCTTGGGTTTCCGAGGCAGTATCACTACGGAAGTAGGATTGCCCAACCTTCCTTCCGAGGAGTGGCTGGTGGGTTTGAACCGCCAGCCTTCTGGTTAGCAGTCAAGTGCCTTAGGCACTATGCTACCAGAGCTCCTCACAGAGCCTCTAGACAGTGAAAGAAACCCTCTTCCAGGTCCCTTCCCTTCTCCAGGGTGGTTGCTGTTGTTATGTGCCGTTGAGTCGGCCCCGACTCATAGTGACCCCTCCTTGGGTTGCCGAGGCAGTATCCTACAGAAGTAGATTGCCCAACCTTCCTTCCAAGGAGTGGCTGGTGGGTTTGAACCACCAGCCTTCTTGTTAGCAGTCAAATGCCTTAGGCACTAAAACCCCTGGGATGAACACAGCTTGGATTTCTGGATGTCCCAACTCCTTAAAAACGATCTCAGAGAAATACTGTGAAATACAGAGGGCCAGATGATCACGTCTCCTAAATCCCCCTGGGATGTACCTGATGGATGCAGGGCTCCTGCTGGAGGCTCCGAAGGGCAATGAGGGCAGCCTCCTTCACATTTGGCTGAGGGTCTCCACATACCATCTCTAGGAGCCGCTGTGGTACTTGGCACTGTAACAGCTCCTCCCCTAGTCCTTCAGGCCCCAAGTTGCCCAGAGCTGATGCAGCATTGCGCCGGATACCAGCGTGAGGATCTCCAAGCAGCTGAGTCATACTGGGCACCGCAGCTGCCAGGGCAGATCCCAGGGGACCAGCCTGGTAGGCTGCGTTGCCCACGGCAAAGATGGCACTGCGCCGCACAGCAGGGTCCTTGTCTCCAAGCCCCAGCAACAGAAGGCTGAGCAGTCCAGTCTGGCTCTGCAGTGCCCCACGCAGGGCCATGCTGTGTTGGAGCAAGTGACCCAAGAGCCCGTAAGTTCGAGCCCGCACAGAATTCTCTGGGTGGCCCAGGAGGCTGCGCAAGGGCCGATAGGATTCATCAGAGCCAGCCAGGAGTTGTTGGATAAAAGCCAAGTGGTTGGGAGACAGTACCCGGGCTGTGTGGGCCAGCAGGGAGAGAAGGTCAGAGGTCAGCTGAGGCTGGTCACCCAGGAGGGCAACTGAGAAGAATGAGATGATGGGGCCAGGAGAGGCAGCCACTGTATTCACAAACTGGCTGAGAGAAGTGAGATCCGTGAGGGCCAGGCGTGTGAGGAGGCTCATGGGCAACTCGACTTGTGGCAACAGAAGATGGTGGCAGCAAACCTGGGAGAATGGGGATGTAGGAAAAAGGGGTTAAGGGAAAGGCAGAGCACAGTGTAGCAAAATAGCTAGAAGGAGGCCAAAAGCTGGGAGAGAGAAAAGCCAAGCTACAGTGAGAAGTATCACAGTGAGCTGGAAGACCTGGCCCACTCCCATCCCCACAGTTCAAAGGAGACACAATCTAGACCCTACAGAGCAGGTCTTTTCCAAGTGCATTCCTTGCCCTGTGAGGACTCAGTCTCTCTGCCTTCTAAAAATCCACTGCTTTATTGAGAACTCAGAAATAGAAAGGGAGAAAAAACAAAAAACCCACTGCTTTACACCAAGAATTGACAAAGAATTAATTTCTGGCCACGGAGCTGAGTCCCCAGTGTTCTAGCCCAGGTATCTTCCCCACTGAGCTCCAAGAGGATCCAGTAAGGGGCTAATGGGGAAAGGAAGCACCAGCCCCAGCTCTGCCTATGTGCCTCTGTTCAGGTCTAGCTACTTTCTCGACTCCAACTCCTGTATCAAGCCAGATGCTCCACTCTCCTAGGGAGCCAAAGAGAACCGTGGGATGTTAGAAAGTAAATGAGAGTACATGAGGTGGACCATCTTCCTCTCTGTCTGCCCAGTACCTGTAGCAGATGGGCTGCAACCTGCGAGTCCCTGAGGTCGGCCAAGATACCTACAAGGAGATCAGCATCCACATCCAAAGCGAAGGGGAAACAGAGGAGCTGGCAGACAGACAGCACCACGGTGGGGAGAAACTCAGACCCCAGAGGACTAAGGAGGGGAAAGCAGAAGGATATACTTGGTCTTGCACCCTTTATGCCCTTTATAATTCTAATCTTCCTCTTTTCAAATTCCCTTCTCCAGCTCCCCTTCTCTAATCATAGCAACTCTTAGGTTTCCACTCTAATCTTTATCCCATTTCTTGCCTTACAGCTTAAGCTGTCAGCTGCTTCTCTCCTGCCTCCCCACCTCCCACTGCTGATTCCCTGGATCGTCTGTTCTTCCTCCTACAACTCAAACTCACGTCTGGCCTAGCTGATGCAGGAAGCTGGGGGAAAGCAGGTGCTTCAAGGTGGACATGAGGATACTTCCATGCTGGGACAGGTGGCTCAGGCATAACTGGGGCTCCTGAGTGAAGGTGGCCACGGCCAGGCTCAGCAGGGCTGCCATGCCTGGAAACATTGAGAATGGGGACTCAGTGGAGCAGACAAGGGGCCAGATTCTCCTGGTTCCCTATGGTTCCCTTCTCTGTCCCTGAGCAGCTCCAGTGTAGACTCTGCCATCCTCTCCCCAGACAGCAGCAAAAGAAATCTCAGTGGGCTAGCCCAGTTCCAGGCTGCCTCCTCCTAAAGAGGGGTTAACATGCTGGGCCGGCAAAGGAGGCCATGCCGACAGAAAGGTACCTTGAGGTGAGATCAGTGTCCAGTCTGGCTCTGGGCTTTGTAGACTGGACAGTGACAGCTCTTCTTCTTGCACAGATACCCCCTTGGGTAGCCTCAGGGCCATGGAGAAGCGGTGCCACAAAACAGTCCACATTTCTGAACTAGCCATGTCCCTTATTAGGCTAGTCTTTTCCTATTAGAAACAAAATTAGAAGAGGGTGGGTGGGGACACATAAGTCAGGGGTCAAACACCATTTTTCATTCATGTCCGCAATGTAAAAGAAAGGGAGTCCCAGAAATAATTCCTCTGTTTTTCCCACCTAGGTTTTCCCTGTTGTCTTATTTTTGTTCTTCTCACACCTTGATCCCCTGACCTCTCAACCCCCATGCATGTCTGTCAAAAACCAGGGTATTATAACTTTTTATTCCACTTAATTCAAAGGGATGCAGCTGAATGGCTTCCTTCAAAGGGTCCACAAAGAGGGCAGGTGGACCCACTGTAAGGCTATCAGAAAGTATGAGAAAAGAGGTGAGTAGGGGTTGCTTCTTCATGCCTATTGTCCAGTGACTCCCCCAAAATGCCCAGTTTCTCCCTCCTTCCTTCCCATCCATCCCAGAATGGACCTGTACCTGGGTGAGGAGCTGCAGCAAAAGGATGAGGAGGCCGTCATAGAATCCGTAGCCACCTGGTGGAATCAGCCGGACCTATTGGAGAGAGGTAGTAAGGATATAGAACCCTAAGAAGAATGAAGCAGCCTCACAGCCCTGTATACCCAACTCCTAATCAAGTAGGAAGAGCCCTTCATTGGTCAGGTGGCATGAGAAGAACTCAGGATTTAGGCATCTTGGTTCCTACCTTTGTTTAAGGAGTAACTCTGTCCTAAAGACACACACTGTCTGGGAGAGTAAGCAGATGTAAAAACAAGCATAGTTTGGAAGATACTTGCTAAATGAGGGCTAGGGGGGCATAGTTGAGAGTGCCTAACTGCCTCTGCAGAGATGCTGGTGGATGAAAAGTTTAACAGGCAGACAGAATGGTGGAGGCAGAAGGAGAACACTACAAGTAGATGTCATAGCTTACTTAAAGGCAGACAGCCGTGAAAAACCATAATGAACTTTGAAAACAGTAACTCCTTTTGAATTGCAGGATTTTAGAACCCAGAGACTGACAGGAAGTAAGCTTTAAGTGGCAGACTAAAAAGTTTGGACTTTACTCCAAAAGCAGCTGGAAGCCACCGAGGACTTTCACACAACTAGCATAGCTCCACAAGGGCATAATATTTGGTCTCTTCATTCACTGCTATATCCTCAGAGCCTAGTACAGTATCTGGAACTCAATATATAATGTGTTCAATACTACTGATTGAACAAATGACCAGATTTGCTTTTAAGAAAGCTCACTCTGGTTGCAGTGGAAAGAATGGAGAGCACAGGGCCTGGGGGCAGGAGATCCTTTAGTAGGCCAGTGCCAGAGCCCAGGGCAGAAACAGTATGTACATAAACCAAGGCAGGTCAATGATGATGCCATGGAGGGAATGGATTTGATCAAAAATAGGAAGGTAGACTGTAAGAGGCTTGGGGAACCATTTAGATGAGGGAATAATGGGGAAGAAGGAGGAGTCCATGATGACTCTAATTTGGTTTCTAATTTAGGCTCCTGGATAAATGTTAGAAATACCACACGAGTATCCTTACATTTGATTTCTCTCTTTCAAGTATGTTGTGGAATAACATATGTGAAACTGCTTTATAAAGTATAAAGAATTCTACAAAAAAAGGATGACCATAATCTGAATAGGAGCTCTGGTAGCATAGTGCCTAAGGCACTTGACTGCTAACCAGAAGGCTGGAGGTTCAAACCCACCAGCCACTCCTCAGAAGGAAGGTTGGGCAATCTACTTCCGTAGTGATACCGCCTCAGAAACCCAAGGAGGGGTCACTATGAGTCAGGTCTGACTTGACGGCACATAAAAACAACAACGATAATCTGAATACGAAGTCTATCCTTTTCACAAAACATGGGAAATACGGCTTCCAAAAAGCAAAGAAAAGAAGAAAGCAGAAAGGAGGTCGTGTAATGGATTGTAAATTCCTGAAGAGTTCACAGAATGTCAGTCATTTTTTCCATCTTTAAGGAGAAAGTCAAGTGCAAACTGCAACAGGAGGGGAAGAGACTAAACACTAGGAATGATTTTGACATTAATGAGCACGAGCTTCTGGAGGAGGGGCCTAAGAGAGGCAGGGAAATCTCATTCCTCAGAGGATTTAGGTCTCTTTTCTCTCTCTTTCTCCATATTTCTTTCTCTCTCAGAGGGGCCTGTTATATGAGGGCAAAGGATAGGAAAGGACTTCTTGACTCCTTACACCTTTACCACTCCCTAGATTATTCTAAGCTCCCTGGCATTTTAGTCTTTGCCCCATGAATGCTGTCCTAGTGTCTGACTCAGAGAAAATGTGTCTACTCCTTCCCTGGTGGACCTCACCTCTGCAGGAGCAGACAGGGCATGTGTGGCTGCAGCAATCCATTCCACAGGCTGGAGGTCAAGGGTCACCCCTTGCTGACAAAGCTGTTCCAATAGACAGGCTGCTGCGCTCTGTGGGAGAGGTAGAAGAGAAGAAATGTCTGAATCTGAGCAGTATTCAGGACAGGTAGAGGAAGAATTTGCCTCTGGTCCATATGAATGCCCCCAGAAACAACTACAAATGGGAAACTGACTCCCCTGCTCCCACAAGGGATAAGGTGAAAAGAGAAGCATAAAGGATGAAAACTCACCACAAGAGAGACGACATGTGAGTGGGTAAAGAGAGTAGCCGTCTCACTGCCAAGTTTCTCCACTCTGAAATAAGGAGATACATCAAGGGATGCAACAGTGTGAAAGGAGGTTGGTAAGTGGCCTTCCCTCACCTCCCTGGATTGCACTCTTCACCTCCAAGGCACAGGTGGTGGGACTCTAGCTCTGTCTTTGTAGAGAAACCTTCACTCTCTCTGCCCCAATCCTATCCAAGGATAGGCTGTAGAGTACTATGTCAGGATTAGATATGTGGATAGGAGATTTCGCTGGAGAGACTCTACTTTATGACTCACCCAGAAGGCAGATCTTGGAGTCGAAGGACAAGAAGGGAGAGGAGGTAGAGTGTCACTTCAGTAGACTCTTCCCAGTCCACTACTTTTACCTACAAAGGAAAACTATCAGGGCAAGCTCTGGTTGAGATGGTGGTGCCCCTGTGACACCCCGACCCATTGCTGGCCTACCTTGCCCTGGACCAACATCAGCATTGACTCCAAAGCCAGGGGCTCTTGCCCCAGAAGACGGCACAAGTGTTCACTAACATGGCAGCAGGAGTAGAGAACCTAAGGGAGCAGGAGGGAGCATGCTGTGAGGCAGAGCAGCCCTTGACTTCAAGACTGGAAGGCTCAGTCAAAATGCAGGCCAGTCTCTTAACAGATCTGGTATCTGCCTTGGGGATGTGAGAAGAATTCAGGCTACTTTTTCCTCTTCTTTGAAATAGAGATAGGGATATTTTTCAGTTTTGGTGAGGACTGAGTAAGAGAGGGGCCAGCTCAGTAAAACAACTAATTTAAAAACAGAAAGACATCCTCCAATGGGGGTCTCTCAATTGCTCTTTCTCACTCTTTCTCTCTCTCAACCTCAATCTCTTTTTAGAAGTCCTTGGTATTAAAAAGAAATATGAAGTACCAAGAGTTGTGGGCTGGCAGTACCTTGAGAAAGTGAAGGCATAGGATGGGATGCTGCAGGCCAGAGATGAGAGATGGCCTCAGTTGGCTGCTGTCTTGGGTCAGTTGATTTGCCAAATACCGAGAGACCTACAGGGACATACATGAAGTCACAATCCTATCCCTAAGATTCCAATCTTACTTCTCTCACATCTCCAACTGACCAGGACCCTCAACTCCTAACTAGCCACTCCCCTGGGTTTACCAGAAACCTGATATCCCATTCTATCACCAATCTTCACAGCTAAAAGCAATGCCTAGTTTGGCCCAAGTGTGGGCAGGTACAGAGGAAAGGGTTACTGGCCACCAGGGAGTGGGAAAGCCCCCAGTTGCTGGGATACGAAGAGCAGGAAATTGTCACTCAGACCTGCTCCTTGGCTTCCCAGCAGTCAGGCAGCCCCACAGGAGCAGTGCACATGGCTGCCAGCGCAGAGGAAATGGCTCCAGGCAGATCCTCATTCTGCTCCCGCAGTGGCTGGCTCACTTGTGGGGCTCCTATGGAGAAAGGCAAAGATACAGGGTGGGCTTTGGTTGTTCTTCTCAGAGCCCATTCTTTCTTTCACTTCATACCTATTTATTGGGCACTCACTCAATGCCAGGCGCTATTTGAGGCGGTGACAGTGGAAAGAGCAGAGCCAGACCTATGTAACAAGTAAGTCAAGGGAACCTCCCCTCTGCACCAGTTACCTGGGGGTGTGTGGAAAGGGAGCTGTGGAATCGTCAAGCCATGAAGAAGCCCATCCAACACGGCCTGCTGTGTAGTCAGCAGGCTGGAGTAAAAGGTTTTGGAGATGGCCCGGCTGTTCCCATCCATGGCTTCACACAGAACAGTAAAGCACTGAAGGAGAGAAGGGCAGTGTTAACATCAGGGCATCAGAAAGCTGACTGGGCTTCATGTAAGGAGCAAGAATCCCCTGAGAATCTGAGAGAAGAGGATTAAAAACCCAGGGGAACACACAGCTATCTAATTCTAAGCATTCCTTACATGGAAAATGCATTATAACTGCCTTCACATTTCAAAGACAGGAATTTTAGATATCAGTCCTTCCATTCTCTGATCAGCTGCTTCCTACATGTTATTTCTCAAAGTGTTATCTGTAGACCATGCTACTCACTGCACAAAGACATCTGCAAAGTACTGGCCAGTAGCATGAGTCACTGTTAGATTGTCCATGACCAGGCTGAACTTGGCCAAAATTTAAGTTAGACATTACTAGTGTCTTGACACGAAAGACTGAGGGATAGTAAAATAGGTTCTCAGACCAGAAAAGTTTGAATGGACTGTTAGCTGAAGGAATATCACCCAGATCTGTGTTCCCAATTAGCAAACTGAACACTGACCAGACAACTGCTCACTTCCTTTTTTTCAGTTTTCTCATTCACTCTTCCATTCTCCTGTCCCTCACCTCCAGAATCCATATAGTTTACTAGTCTTTAAAACAAACAAGGTAGAGAATTACTAGATGATCTGCAAGTCCCTTTAAGAAGAAATACTATTTGTGATCGTTTTATGTCTCCCCAACTAGACAAACCCTAGTCCCTTAATGGTGGGAACTTTCTCTTACACAGTGTGAAGCACATAGTGGATATTCAACAAATGTTTGTTACATTAACTTGGTCTGACCCTATATGGTCAGAAGAAAGAGGATGGGAGAAACATGGGCAACAATAAGATAGGCAGGAATTTGGAGTGGAGCAAATTACCATAAGGCTGTCCCTCCGCAAAGTCTGCTCAGAGTCATCTGGTTGGGCCAGCAGTTTCCCCAAGAAGTCCAGAAAGAGGTTGGCAGCCTCCTGAAACACCGGCAAGCTGGGAAAAAAATGAGCCCCTGGTTCTTTGTCATCTCTAATAAAAGCCCAGATGTCATGACTGGGGCAGTTCTGGGCAAAAAGAGTCCCTGTAAATGAGCACATCTAATTGTTCTTTCCTGTTTCCCCTACTAAATACATCCAGTCTCAAACATACAGCCTCGAAGGCCCTTCTTTGCCATCTGCTCTAATTATTCACATCTCAACCCTTTCTTTTAGGGCCATGGTTGCTAGGAATTCTTAGAACCTGAAAGCATGTGGATAAAGCTGGAGGTGTCTCAGTGTCTTTAAGGGGCCAGCAGAACTCTGAGGAGTCACTCATCTGATTCCTAAACCTCTCACAAAGCAGTTTCTTCTCACTTAGCCTCTTCCTAAGGAGGGGGAGGGGAAGAAATTGGGTTAAAATCGGAGTAAAACAGCTGACAGAGAAAAACTGTCTTCATCCTACCTGTCGCTTATCTGGCTCCTCTCCAGGTTGAAGGTGCAGGCAAAGTAGGCCTGAATCCCAGCCATCAGTTCCCTCAGGAAGGTTCCATACCATGATTGCTGCCAAGGAAGAGAATAGGGAGCAACAACTAGATGAGGAGATGGAAACAAAGAATAGAAAAAGCAGCAAAAATAGGTGGAACCCTTACAGAGGCAGAGAGAGCCTATAGACTGTGAACAGCCTGGCAATGTGTCCTACTTGGCTTACACAGAATTTTAAGTTTGAGAGGCTTTTCCTATGGTCAGTTTTTCAAAAGAGCTCAAATTATCTTTCTCAATTCCTTAAAAACACCCAAGATTAACACTTACCAGCACAGTGCAGCTTGCCAGCTGCCTCAGCTTAGGCTCTGTTAAACGTTCCTCTACTCTGCCTCTGTAAGGGTTCCCCTGCCCTCTTAGCTCAGCTGCAGTAGGACACAGCCGGGGGAAGTAGAGTGTGGCCTCGAACACACTGATTTTTAATTCCAGCCCTGCCACCTACTGCTTCTGTGGCTGTTTGTAAGTTGGTGACTGTACATGAGTTAGATTACTGTTGAATTTCAGTCTCCTGCTCAAAAAAATTAGATCAATAAAGTCTAGGATTTAACATTTCAAAGCACAGTGTTCTAAAAACTGGAAAACTGCACCTAAAAATGTAATTCTTGGGAATCTTGGAAAACTGGAACACTGGGCCTGCATTCTCACATGGTAAAAATGGGTGGGAGCTGAGAAGAGGCTGCCCCATTTAGACTAGGAATGTGAGCTCCAGTTTTATTTTATTCTCTACTATTCTGTATAGTCATACACATAGTCTACTTTACTGACCGACACTGTCTGCCTGGTCCCAGAGGCATTAGAATTTGCAATTCCTGTTCTAGTAACTAGAAAGAGGAGGAAAGAAAAATGGGGCATTAGGGTCAAATAGAGATGGAAGTCAAGAGGAGAGAAACCCAAGAAGAGGACACTTCTGTTAGCCTTGAGAGGCTCCTGGCCTGGTGCTCACCTGCTGGATGGTGGTGCTGTCTTGGCTGTGCTTCAGTAGGCTGAGCAGCAGCCCAGGCAGTCCTGCCTCATGGCAGAAGGAATATAAGGCAACAGAGTCACTGCAGCCAGACAGAAGACTGCTCAGGACCTGGAGCGCAGGGAGGAGGTGGGAGGCACCTTCCAGGATGCCTTTCAGAATCTGGGAGACAGGAGGGAAAGAGATAGGGATCAATATCACCAGGGGTGAAGGAGGAGAGACACAGTGTGCCCAGGAAGTTGGCAAGGCAGAACAAACGTCATTCCTTATTTTGGAAATGTAAAACCCAGAGGAGAAGGAGAACAGGGAAACTGTACCAGAGAAAAAGAATAATGCTCAGGTTACCTGAACATATAATAACAGTAACCAAGGGGGAGGGCACCTCCCCTCAGGATCTATCAGATCCAATGCCATTCCTATCGGCTTTTGCCTTTCTCTAGTGCCTACATTTAAAAAAAAAAAAAAAAAAAGTCTAAAAATGAAAAAAAAATGGAAACAAAACAATGTCATTTAACACCAGATAGACAAAGCAACATTATTAACTCTAGGTCAGGGGTTGACAAACTACAGTTGTCAGGCCATATCTAGCCTACTTCTATTTTTCTGTACAGCACACAGTTAAGGTCCCATTTATATTTTCAAATTGTTGGAAGAAAGAAATATAACAATAACACTTACATCAAGTGATTTACAATATGCCATTCATTGTTTCAAATCTTTGTATTTGCATGCTTAATCTTTGTAACAGCCCTATGAAGTAGGTATTTAACCCATTATATAGATGAGGTAACTGAAGTGTCTAGATAGGTTAAAAAGTAATCAAAGATCACATGGCTAATGAGTAGCTCATGAAATTCAAATCCAGGGAGTCTTACTCCCAGAGACAGAACTCTTTTTTTTTTTTATCATCTCTCTCATCATAATTTTATTTTAGACATTTTTTTTTTTATTAGGATTTGGGTGAAGATTTACAGAGTAAATTCACTTTTCATACAGCAGTTCACATATACTTTGTTTCATGTCATTGACCAAAATTTACAATGCAGCAGCTCCCCTTCTACTTCCTCCCCATAGTTACCTCCTCCCAGTGTCCATCCCTTCATACTCTTCTGCAC